ACTGGGGTGGAATCCTTCATGTTATTGGGCTGGTTACCCTTAAAGGTACGTCTTCAATACGTTTAGTTAGGGTACATAAGATTGCCTTGTTGTTTCATTGTTACATTGACTCTATCCATCATGTTTTGACTCTAGGCACTTATCAGAGGTTGAATATCTTTGTAATGTTAACACTACAACAATTGAAAAGAATAAAATGGCAAAAAGAACAAAATGTCACACCTTTTTTAAGACACAGTGATGTTATTGTGTAATGTGATCACATTTGATGTGATAATATGCTGTTTATAAGCTTCTGTTGTTCTAGATAAGCTATGTTTTGTATTTTATGGAGATAGTTATTTACTATTTACTAAATAGAATGGAATGGCATTTAAGAGTGTGCCAACAAAAAGAAGTACACCCACTTTAGTACAAGGATTGCTGTGTGCAAAGTTATTAGTATTTGCCTTGTTATTTTCAGTTTTTTTTGTTACTGCTGATGTTGTTAGTTGTTAACAATTTAATTATTTAACCAAACTTTTTTCGGGTACATTTTCAGGTTTTTGCACGCACTTGTATCAGGCGTGATCGCACAGATACACAAAAAATGAAACTGGTCAACAGCAAAACTGACTGTGAAATTTGCGTGCACTCATCAATTTGACCATATGTAACTTTGATGAATAAGGGCCATGGAGACTATAACACAGACTCATTCAATCTCAGTAGAAAGCTACCTATCTTGACAAGTAACCTATGGGCTGGATATTATTCAAAATTTACCTTCCTGCTCAAACCATGTAAACCATCCAAATGATCGTCTTTCCTCCAAATCTCCACCATCAACAGTTCTGTAAAAAAACCTGTTCTTTTCAATTTTACACAAAACAGTCATGGATTCAAACAAAAGAAAGAAAGTCGATGTTGCCCCTCTACTTTAAAGAAAGTTATGTTTGCCGTCAGTGCTGAAGACCAGTCTGCTCTTGATTGGCTAAATGAATGTGGTGAGCTCATTTGCATAAAGTTGAAATCTGCTACACTTTTTCACCACAGTGAGGCAGATTTTGCCGTCCTGCAACCCATCACAGTTTACAGTGAGGCGATGTTGCAAGTGGATGCGTACCGTAGCGCTGCATTGACATTACAGTGTATCACAACGCTTTCTTTGCCAACTGTTGGCCACTTTGTGGTTGTGCTGCTAAAATACAAGCTATTTCAGCCTACAATTCTAGTTCTAATGCTCTTTTTCAAAATGTGAATTAATGTAAAAATCTTCTTGATTTTTCCTGCATCGACAGTTAAAACTGATTTCAGCATGTGGTTTGAATGTGGATGTGATGACGTAACACACCACAATGCTTCTCAACTATCTGGCTGGCTCTCACCTGGCTAAACTCCCTTTTTATTTGCATAAAGTTGATATAAGGCTCAGCTTTTTATCGCTCCCTCTGCGTGTGTCGCATTTCTGCCTCTCTCACAATCCCTCATGCGCAAGTGCCACCTCTCTCCATTCAAATGAATATGAGGCGAAATGAAAATGGCCTCGCTTTGCTGTAATGTAAATGTAGGGTACTTTTTATATTGATTATACCTTTGTGAACCAAAAGTATTTTTTTAAGTAAGTTTTATTTTATTGAAAACATTAATTCCAAACTTTTAATTGTTTATTCCAAACTTTTGAACAGTAGTGTCTATTACATGCAACCGACCCCCCCCGCCCATACCCACCACTGTGCTTCTACAGACACATAACAGTTTTTTGAAGTTGTGATGATGCATGGATGTAGCTGTTTGTGTGTATTCGAATGATGGATTTAGGTGTTTATAACAAGTGCGAAACAGAGTCATATTTGTAGGATTAGCTGATCGTATGCTGAAATGTTTACAGTACAATCCGTCGCAATAAAGGAGCGCTGGTGCCTCGTTTAATCTCTTGAGCATGTTGCTTTTCATGTTGAAGGCAGAGGCAGTTTATACGCTGTGCGTGTTATGAGTGTTGGTGTCAGCGTGAGGGAGTCACACTGGCACAAAGACGTATGTGTGTAATATCCAGAGATTTCACTGTGACACTGTATTAAAGAATTAATGATGCACAACCAAAATAATATTTCAGTTTTGCACAAACATTTCCGTTTAGCGCTGGGGTGTATGAGTGTATATGTGTGTCGTCTTAAAACTTCTAAATTCATCATGGTGTAAGAAAGATAAGCGCTTGGTAGGCTGAATTACTAATGCAAATACAACACCTTCCATCTCTCTTATTGGTTTAAAATGTTTTTCCTGACCCGCCGGGCACGTGAGCTCTCTCTCACACACTCACGTACACACACAAACGCACAAATTATGACGCATCTTTGTAGTTTGTTATTCGTTTAGCAGAGAGCGGAGGTCTGATGTGGTAAGCAGTTGTGAAAGTTTTGCCCGGAAGCTGTTTGAACACTACTCTCTTCCATTCTTCTTACCATCTCTCATAATGTCTTGTGAGAACTGTGCATAATCAGAAAATAAACAGCTTGTAGCGTTTTTGCTTCCTTCCTTGAGCGTAAATTGCTGAGAATTACTGCCTCATAAACAAATATTGCTCTATCAACACCTTCATATCGAGCCTCCACTCCGACCTCCCTGGTGTACCCCATCCCATCTTCTTTAGAGACTGTATAATGTTTATAGATGTATAATGTCACTGTCACATCAAAACTTCTGTATTTATAGCCTTTAAAATCACTAACTCTTTACAGAGTGTGAATATTTCTCGATTAATGGCTCCAAAGGTATGCAAGATGATATCAGATTTTAGAACCATTTTCTTTACTAAAGATCCCTTAAAGAACCATCGTTTTTAAGTGTGTAGTTAAACTGCAATTCTTGCTGGTTGCTTTTCTTACTTTGTCTTCTCCATCAATTAGCATTAAACTCAGCTTCATCAGATATAACAGCTCACATTCTCCCCTTTTAATAATGTGTTTTTTAAGGTGTTTATAACCTAATTAATAACCATTAATAAACTCATTTTAAACTATTCATAAACCACTTATAAGGGTAGTCTTATTCTAAAGTGGTACCAAAGAAAATATCAGCATTGGATAAATGTTTGAATTGGGCCAGAGTTTCAAACTAATGTTTTATGACACATTTATTACCCCGGAAGAGCAGTGAAATTAGTTGTGGATGGGCTGCTGTGCTGAAATATTTTCCATTGTATTTACATTTCATTTGTAACCCTGCAGATGTTCCTGTATTTCTCCATAATTCTAGATTTAGATAGATTTGGTCCTAATTTCTACATTTGATAAATGTTTGTTTTGGCATCAGTATTGGCAGATACGCACATGAAAAATATTGGATATTAGTTTATTCATACATACATTAAAGTTTCCCATGCATCCCTACATTTCTCTTCTCCTTCTTTTTTTTCTTTTACAACAGCGACAAGAAGACTAAGTCTTTGTAAAATTCAAGGAATTGTTCCGTCCTATTCTGTGAGGTGAAAACAAATCAATCTGATTTATAGAGCTCTTAATAAATCCACCTTCACACTCTGGAGGGCTCTTTCCCAATAAGGTGGCAGATCCAGCTGAGCAGGACCAATCAGCCGTGGAAATGACTAGCTCATCCTATTGGGCCAGAGAGAGATTTAATTGTAGCTGTTTTGGGGCCAGAATGGAGCTGAGAGTAGGCTGCAGTTCGTGATGCTGTGTTATTGTCTGCTGGGTTGGTGAGTGGTGGTAACGCTAATTCTTGGCCTTATTCAGAATAAACACAAACTCCCCTCCTCTTCTTTATCTCTCTCTCTCTCTCTCTCTCTCTCTCTCTCTCTCTCTCTCTCTCTCTCTCTCTCTCTCTCTCTCTCTCTGTTGCTTTCTAAACCTCTCTCTTTCCAACTCTGTGTCTCTATACCCCCCCTCCTTCTCTTTCTCACTCTCTCTCTCTCTCTCTCTCTCTCTCTCTCTCTCTCTCTCTCTTTCTCTTTCTCTTTCTGTCCCCCTGCTTTTTCTTTGTCAGGTAAAGGTGCTATAGAGTGAAGGGGGGCTGTCAGGCTGGTATAATAGTGAAGTGCTGGAGCGTGAAGGCATCTTCCCCCTTAGCTCTCACATTGCTGGTGTGAATGTCACCACAGAGCAACCCACCTGCAGGATTTTGGGCGAGGATGTGTGGATGCCTTGTGTGTGTGTGTGTGTGTGTGTGTGTGTGTGTGTGTGTGTGTGTGTGTGTGTGAAAGAGAGGGAAAGAACAGTTCTGTAGTGATATGAAATCAATGAATTTCCCTGGTCACTGGACTTTCACCCACACATTTTGGGAATCACTGTTTTCAACAATATAAAACCAACCTGGCTGCAGATCAGACTGTAATACAATAAATGCATTCCAATGAATAGATTTCAAAGAATTGGTAGGAAGCTGGAAATAAATAAATAAATAAATAAATGAAATATTTTAAATGTGTGAACAGTGGTGGTTTGAAAGGACGATGGCAAAAAAAGAACTACTCATAATCCTATCATTTACTTCTCACATGCATGCCATTATATGTTGTAGCTGCAGTTTCTCATTAGTTTGACCCGGCTTACAGCTTGTCCAACCCTACAACAGTGACTACAAAAGAATGATTTTGTGGGCGGAGCATGAATAGGTCAGTTACACCCACTATAGAGCCGCAGTGCACAAACTTTTTGTCTTTGGCGGCCGAATGCCATGTTTGTTTTGGGCTGAGGGCTAACTAAAAACAAAAATAAAACAGTATACAACAGTGTTAAAATATGTTTGATCTCTTGTTGAGTGAGGGGAGGTAGGGTACTTTGCTGGTAGGCCAAGTCACACTTCCTCATGGGCCAAACTTTGAGCCTTAGAGCATTGGGAATTGATACATTTCTAGAATGTCATGTATTTCAAAAGTTTTGATGAAATCTCGAGGCGGATAACAAGAATTGACTATAAATAGATATTTATAGTGTATTATATGTCTTTACCAAAGAATTAAACACTCTCTCTCTCTCTCTGTCCCTCTCTCTCTTTCTCAGTGTTGACCTGGTGCATGCTCAGCTGCGGATTTGCGAGGGTCGCAGTCTGCCCGAGCTGGGGCTAAAGCAAGATAAGATCCGGATCAACGGTTATGCCATCCAGTGCCGTGTGACCACAGAAGACCCTGCACGTGGCTTTCAGCCGGACACAGGTCGACTTGAGGTGGGATGGCATGCTGCACCTTCCCCATAGCACAGTCTGAGCGGTTATCTGCTTGTGATGTGTTCGCACACACGGTGTGAATACAGTCGTGTTGCTGCAGGGATAGCAGACTCCCTTTGAGGTTGGACTGAAATGATTTGTTTGGTGATGAATAATTGAACAAATATTGATATCATCTTCCTCTGGCCAGCCTCTTATTACACAAGCCTTAAATCTGCCCAAACAGCCTGGCAGGGATGTGTTGAAGGTTATCCAGGGTCTCGGACTCTTCCTGATGGTGAGCTCTTGGCTATTCTATATTTAGCACACCTTGTCCACAGGCCCTTGGCTCCTATCAAAGTACTACCCACCCAATTACCCACGCTTGGTCCGCTCAACAGCTACATACTTCAACCCTGCGCTCTTCCTGAGCAGCCTCTTTTGAAATCCCGTCCTATCTGCTTGAAATATCTCTGTTCCAGCATTTGGCGGGCTATATCAACACCACCCAGATAGGAATGTTTCCCACCTGTACAAAGCTGCCATCACCCAGGCTTCAAAGGCAAACATGGGTGTCCTGTGGCGTTGGGAGAATTTCACGAACATGGTAGGGGGGATGGAAAGATGCAGTTTGAGAGATAGAATTGAAGAGGGAGGGAGGGAGCTGAAGAGGCAGGGAAAGAGGACTTGGGCAGACATCAAATGGATCCCGCAGATAGATTTATCAAGAGAAAACGTTCAAGCTGAGCAGCAGAGAGAAAGATGGAGGGAATGTTTGCGATGCAGAGAGAGGTAGAGAAATGGACAAGCAGGGAGGATGAGCGAGATGCTGTAGGAGGTGTTGACCGGAGCACTCAAATGGACACTTTTTACTGAATTATGGATGTATATTGACAGATCAATAGATGCCCAGATGGCTGAACTGTAGGATGAAGGCTTCATCCACTTCGGTAGAGGAGCTCAGGTGGGAGGTGTAAGGGGAGCGAAGGAAAGATAGAGAGAGTTCGAACCCAAGTGGGAGCAGAGAGATAGAGATGAAAAAGCCATGATACTCCTCTCACTTTTCATAGGTGTAAGCAAGGCTCCAGTCTAAGCCCTCTCGTGTTTTTCGGTAAAGCCTGGAAATGTTACACAAGACGTGTGTGAGAGGAGACAGAAGTGGAACAGCAGCCCCTGAAGCGTCTGATATGAAAATCAGCCAGTGGGGAGGGAAGCGAGAGTGCTCTCTGGCCCCTCCCTCTCGCTTTTTCTCTCTGCTTTCTCTGAAATATGTGATACGGTGCGAGGCGGAGTGAGTATAGGGTGGCTCATTTCTTGTTGTGAAAGGCTCAATACAACTATAAAGGGGAGAGTGAAATATCCAAGTAAATAAGTGTAGAAAATAGGCCCAGGAAAAAATGCTTTGGGGTGTAATAGAAGGCTGTCTGTCATTTGATGGATATGTGAATGTGCGTGAGACGGAGGCATTCCGTACTGTGTATGTCAGGGCGGTACTTATTCAGGTCTATATTTAAAGTCCTTTGCAGCACTGTCATCTCGCCTCTAACGTTTCCCCTCGAGCACTGTTCCGGAGCCTAGACTCCATCCACAAACGTTACAGAACCTTTATTAAAGCTTGGCTATTAAAAGCTGACTGGCTGTTTTAGCTGTTGGCAGGGCTTGTTCCATCTGCTGAGTGTGTGCGCCTGTGTTGGTTTTGATCATTAACACCAAGTATCAGCTGGAACTCTCACACGCGCACTGAGAGAACATAATGCAAATCAGCTTTGTCCCCCTCATCAGCACCACCATCATAATCATAATAAACACAATTATCTTGATGAATGCAGCGATGGTAAATATCGCACTGTTTGTAACGCGAGTCCATATTTAAAGTGATGTGGATTATAGAAGCATTGTTCGTTAGTTTGCTAGTGGAGATAAATGAGAATCGTAATAAAGGATTTGGAACCTTGTAGACGTTTTGGCCCCGAGCGCCTTATCATTTATCTTACTGTCGATGCTCTATGTTTGCTTTTAATTGATGCCTTCGCGTTCTTTGTTACTTAACGGCCTGAGATTGATGTGGTCGGAACGCCGGGCTCACGCTCAGTGAAGCATATTGCTGGAGAAACATATGATTTTCTTTCAATAATAACACATTTTTGAGAGGGCTCTCCGAACTGACACCGGTCAGCATTATTCAGAGTGCCAGAAAAGACACTGTGTGTTTGTGTTTATGAGAGTGCGCACATGCTCTGAGTATGCAGTGAGTGCGGTTGGAGCAGATTGGCGTGCCCCTTAGGCCTTCATCTGCCACACTGCCTGTGCTGTGTGTCAAAGTATTTGCTCATACTAATTGTTTTTACAACATATTTTGCACAATTGTTTTGCACAGATTTTACATTTGCACCGTTTGTTATTGGTCTTTGAAGTACTGATATTTCGGATGCTGCAACATCAATGTGCACAAATCACTACCATTTTATTTTATTGTACTTTATTTTATCTCATTGTATTTAGTTCTATGTACATTCTGACCACAGATGATCCAGTTGAGTTTCTCTGGGTGGAACTGAGTCATTCATAGGGATTAAACAAATCTCAATGTTGGTCAAAACAATGCAGGCCAGTCTTCAGTGATGTCGCATCAAGGCATCACCATTGTTTTTAAGATATTGCAAGTCAGTATAATTGCATTATTCTGTTTTGTCCATATGGTGCAGCCCAAATAATAATAATAATAATAATAATAATATCATGATGATGATGATACAAACACAGAGTCTGTAAAAGATTTTTGTCTCGACTCATATCCATCTTTATTAGCTTGGAAAATGAGAAAATATTGTTTTCTCATCCAGATGGTTGCCTGTCCCCTTTAGTTTGGTTGATGGGCTCTTCATTGAACATAAACGGGGATGATAACTGGGCATTTCCTCAGGCCGGTTATACTAAAGATGATGCATGTATTGCGTCTTTTGTACTGCATAAAGTCGCATCTACAGGGAGCTATGCTTTTATTTTTCAGTATATCGTGCCCACAGGTTCATTTTAGCTGTAAGTACAACAGTTTGGCAAGAGCATGTGAGCGGTGCAGAGTGGGAGCGAAGTGACGTGATTTTGCTCGGAGCACAGAGCGGCTTTTCAGAAAGTTGGTGTGTCAGTGTTCTCTCTCTCTCTCACTCTCACTCTCTCTCTCTCTCTCTCTCTCTCTCTCTCTCTCTCTGTCTCTCTCTGTCTCTCTCCCTCTCTCTCTCTCTCTCTCTCTCTCTCTCTCTCTCTCTCTCTGAAACTGCTCGTGTCGCGCTCCATCCTGCGAGCCAGACAGTCCTCTTTTTTCAACACTGACTACCTCTGTGTGACGTGAGTGATGCGGCAGTGGCTGCTACAGCTCAGCCATGACGGCCACTCTTACACAGCGTCTGTGCTGCGATGCAGTTCAGCAGACCTGCGTATTGGAAATTCTCACTGGTCACAGCAAAGTTCTACAGACGTTACACAGAGTTAGTCTTGTGTTGTCTATTTTGCTGCAGGAATGATAAAGAAGATGGTGTTAAAAGCATGTGCCCTGACAGCTTTCTAGCATGTGATTGGGCCGTCACTTCAAGCCTTCTGAAAAAAGCCAGTGTAGCACAGAATATTTAACTAGTTTTTGTTTAATAACATTATGTAATTAATGAAATAAAATCTTATAATCTTAAAATAGTCTTGTCCGTACATTCAAGACATAGAATAACTCCACTCACATGCTGTGTTTTAAGCGCCAGGGGCTGTATTACAGAAACTTCCTGTCTTTTGTCCTAAGGTAAGATCTGAATATTGAGGATAATATGTTATTATTATGTTATTAATATGTTATGTTATGTAATAGTTATTATGGCAGAAAATCTTGTCATAATTTAGGAATTACGTCTTATCTTAATTTATCTCAAGTTAAGAAATTCTAAACTACTTGATTGAGGTTGATTGTTTTTGTCTATTGCAAAGCGACCGACCATACAAGACAATCAAAATGACGTTAAAAATTTCACTCCAGCAGCACTGCTGTGTCTGATCCACTCAGACCAGGGCAACACACATTAACACACCACCACCACATCAGTGTTACTGCAGTGCTGAGAATGATCCACCACCCAAATAGTACCTGCTCTGTGAGGGTCCATGGGGGTCCTGGCCACTGAGGAACAGGGTAAAAGGGGGCTAACAAAGTATGCAGAGAAACAGATGGACTACAGTCTGTAATTGTAGAACTACAAAGTGCACCTATATAGTAAGTGGAGCTGATAAAATGGAAAATGAGCGTAGAAACAAGGAGGTGGTCATAATGTTATGCCTGATCAGTGTACATAGGTGATGTGGAGAGAGAAGAAACATGCAAAGTCAATGATCACTTCTGAATTCCTGTAAGTTTTGCTGATGTGATCCTCATATTATAGAAAAAAAGTTAAAATTGTACCTTTTACAGGATCTAAAAATAATAATTTGTGTGAGACACCTCAAAACAACCCTCAGTGAACTGGGCTGAGCCCCTGTTGTTTACATGCCCATCCTGTGGAGCCATGCTAATGTTATTCCTCCTAATAACCACACATTTAACTCTGTCTCCTTGTCATACACCACCATCACTGCAACATTTTATCTGACAAGTTTTCATCAACAGTAACATACACAGATAATGAGAGGGAATGGCAGAGAACTTGTTTGCGGTGTCCAGGATTTTGAAACCACAGAGTTAAAAAAAATTACTCTCACAAGTGAAACCACCACTTTTAAGTATGAATAAACGCAACATCATTATGCTGTTTACAGTGAACTTGTTATGCTGCCTGTACTGTTGCCTAAAATGACATTTAACAACATTGTTGTTGTTTTGTTTTTTTTTTTGTTTTTTTTTGTAAAAAAAAATGGCTAATGGTCAAAACTGAAGGTTAAAACAGAAGTTAGGACAATGTTTATCCTAAAGTTAGGATAGCATTTAGGACAATTTGCCCAGTTAAGATGTTTCTGAAATACTCATTTTTGATCTGGACTAAAGATCT